GGGAAGGACCTGCACAAGGCTCACAAGTCAGCAGGGTGGTGGTGGCTCTGTGCCCTGGTAGGATGTGTGGACTGCACCAATGGGCTCCCTTTCTCTTTGGCTTTGACGGATAGGGAACACTGGCCAATGAAGGGAAAGGAGTAGAGGCATTTATTACCCCAGCATCCACACAGCAGCATTGCAAGGCTGGCTGCTTCTGACTACCTTATCCCTTCAGACTGATGAGTGGCAGGTGGCTCCCCACAATAGCCAGCACCTTGGTATTGTGCTATCCCCTGAGGTTTCCCTACCCCCTGGCTACAGCTCTGCGGATACAGTCAGTTCTCATTATTCATGGCAGTTACATTCTGTAAAGTCTCTGCATAGTGAACCATGACTTCCAGGGGAAATTTACAAGAGGAGGTTCTTGTGAGCCTCTGGGCACAACATTTTTGTCAACTGATCAACCCCCACATAACGTTGTTTTGTGTGTTTCTATTTAAAGACACCTTATTTAACATATATTGTTGATTCATTAGCATTGAACTCACAGCCAACAGCACTATATAACTCATGCCGGAATGAAGCTTGTCAAACACATGCATTTTCTCTGTAAAGTTACATCTGCTGAGTCGCGAGTCAAAAAGAATTTTCAGCCACGAGCGGCTCGTTTGTTCGTGCACCTTTATTTTGTGTTCAGCATGATGACAGGACCCGTGGGCAGTAGAGAGCTGCTGCCTGGAAGAGTCTGTGCAGGGCCATTATATACGATTTTTATGTATGTTACTATTCTATAGAAACATCAAAAGAGAAAGTATTAGGTGGTCTGGTTAGCCTTAAAGATTAGGGCATGGGGGGGGGATAAATGAGATGTGTCCTTGCATTCCAAGGTACAGATATGCCTCAAGGAACATGTGGGCAGGAGATTAAAGTCATTGATCACCTCCTGAGGTAAATTCCTTCACTCCGAGCCAGATTGAGTAAGTAGGGGCATGAGAGACTGAGTGGAGTTCGCATGGAAATTGTAAAACGAGTCATAAACAAGGTTTTGACCACATCATATTTACCCCTGAGCCCTCGATTCCCAAAAATCTTTGGGAAATGGGCGAAGGTCCATCTTCTGTATCTACTTCCTGCTGAGTAGGAGTGTAGAGCTGTCCCTAAACGGGGATGTGACTGGAACCAGGGGCTTCAGATGACCAAAATGTGGCCGCTGCAGAGTCGAGTGCAGACAAAGTAGTGATCATTTCAAGATGAGAGAGGATCATCTGTTGAGAGGGCGAAGTTAAGGAAGTGAGTCCTTGTTGGCAACTGACAGACAAACAATGGAAAAGACAGCATACCACAATTAACAGAATCAAGAGGACTGCTAATCCGAGAAGGAGAGCTTTGATTGTCATCCAGAACCCAGGACCCGACCATGAATTTAGCCAATCACTAAAAGAGAGGGTGGTGTCCGACATGGACTTGATTTGTTTCCCATGTGCTGAAGTAAAGTAGTGACATTATTATGGTAATTGGGAATATATACACAGCACTCAGTGTTAATGATGGCACGAGTGCCACCCTGAGCAGCAGTTAAGATGTCTAGAGCCATCCTGTTCTGTAAGACTGCTTTTCTCATCTGGGTTACTTCTAAATCCAGGAGAGAGAGAGACTGTGCTGAGAGTCGTTTAATGCCCGCATTGTAAACTGATTTAGGGCGGGGCCATTATCGCTCTGCAGAAAGTGAGGTAGTCCAAACCTAGGAATTATTTCCTGCAGTAAGTCTTTGGTAACCTCAATGGCTCGCTCACTGTGGCAGGGGAAGGCCTCTATCCATCATTTAAGGGTATCTATAAAAACCAAAAGATATCTATAACCACAGCAAGGAGGCATTTGAGTAAAATCAAGCAGCCAATCCTCTCCAGGGTAGGTGCCACACCTTTGTACTGGCTGAGAAAGGGGAGGTGGCTTTAACCCTCCCTGGGGGTGTACTTGTGCACGAACTGCACAGGCTCGACAAAACTGTTTTATAGAGGAGTTAGTCCCAATCCATCAAAAAGTTTGCCTACTAATTGTGTCAGGGAATGTTTGCCCAAATGAGTAGCCTGATGAATCCCATGAACTAGCTTCCATTGTAATTCCTTGGGCACAAAGAGCTTTCCTAGTTGGTTTTTAAACTAAGACATTGGCTCTGAGGTGTCCTGCAAAAATCCTTTTTATGTGCTAAATTTCTTTCTTTTTCAGTGTATCTAGGAACAACATCACCTAGACCAGGGGAGTGGGAAGAAGGGCGAGAAGGTAGTCTCCTTTTGCCGCTTGTTTGGCCTCGGCATCAGCAAAACTGTTTCCCTGGCTTTCAGCTGAAGGGTCCTTTTGATGGCCTCCGCAATGAATAACAGCCACCTCCTTTGGGAGATGTGTAAACTCTAACCATTGTAGTATTTCATGTACATGTTTGATAGGAGAGTTTTGGGAAGTCAAAAGACCTCACTCTCCAGAAAGCTCCATGAGCATGGAGAACAAGAAAGGCATGTTTGGAGTCAGCGTAAATGTTAATAACCAGATCTCTGGCCAGTTGTAATGCTCTGGTTAGGGCTATTCTGCCTTTTGGGCAGAAGTACTGGGTGCTAGGGCCTTTGACTCCATGACTTGAGTCAGGCTGACAATGGCATAGCCCGCTTTCCGTACACCTTGGTCCATAAAACTACTGCCATCTACAAACCAGATATCATCCGCATTTGGTATTGGCAATCAGTTAAATCAGGCCTGCTAGAATACACTTGTTCTCTGATTTCAGCGCAACTATGGGACAGTAAGTTATCATTGATGGGATAATCTGGCCCTGGCAAGAGAGTTGCAGGATTGAGAGCTTGGCACGTTTGTAAGATCACTTCTGGGGTATCAAGGTTAGCCTGATATTTAGTGAGGCATCCCCTTGTCATCCAGTGGTGTCCCTTTGTCTGTAGAACTGTTTGAACTTGGTGAGGAGTCATCACAGTTAGGGACTGTTGGAGAGTCAGTTTAGTGGCTTGTTCTACCAATAGAGCAGTGGCTGCCACAATTCTCAGACAGGCTGGCCACCCCAAGGCCACAGAGTCCAGGGTTTTGGAAAAATAACCAACTACTTGGGTCTCTGAGCCCAGTTTTTGAGTGAGTGTTCCAAGAGCCTCTCCTTGCTTTTCAGTAACATAGAGAGTGAAAGGCGTATTGATGTTTGGTAAGGCCAGAGCTGGCGCCTCAGACAGGCACTGTTCTAACAGTCGAAAGGCTGAATCTTCCCTTTTTCCTTTTCCCTTGTCTGGGCTGTGCGGCGCCTCATATAAAGGCTTTGCTATGGTTCCGAACTGGGAAATCCGTAACCGGCAGAGACCTGCCATGCCTAAAATGGTTCTTAACTGTTTCTTTGTCCTAGGGGGCCCCAGGTCTAAAATGACCTTTTTTTCTGGCCAGAAATAGAGCCCTGTGGCCAAGGGTGATCTCATACCCCAGATATTGAACCCGCTGTACCGAGATTTGGGCCTTAGTGGGAGTGATGCAATGGCTGCGTTGGGCCAGGAAATTGAGTGTTAAAACCGTGTTAGCATCAGAAGTTTCTCTGGTAGGACTGCAAATTAAGATGTCATCCACATATTGTATTAACCCACTGTCTTTAAGATTTAAGTCTGGTAAATCTCGTCCCAATGCCTAGCCAAATAAGTGAGGTCTATCTCAAAACCCCTGAGGCAGAACAGTCCAGGTCAGTTGGACAGGCAGGGCTTCATTAGGGAAATGCCGTTCGAGAGCAAAAAGCAGTTGAGAGTCCTCTCCCACGGGAATGCAGAAGAAAGCATCTTTTAAATCCAAACCAGTCTGGACCCAACCATGGGGTGGGGCAAGTAGGTAAAACAAGAAAGGAATATGACAACACCTGATCTTGATATTTACAAGTCAGGGGATAAGTCTGAATGCAACATTTTGAGTCTCCATCTATCCCCACAATCTTATGGGATGACTTACGTGTCAGATCAGCATGGCAAATAGGGACAGAGTAAGTGGCTCCTGTATCAATAATGAAATTGATGTGCTCACCTTCCACGTCCAGAGTAACCCGGGCTCAGCCTGTTGGATGTCAAGGGGAGCTGGACTGGCCCCTGGGCCCCTTCAGGATGAATCCTCTGGATCGCTTCCTTGGGCGGGGAAATGAGTTCCTGTCCCCCTCTCACTCTGGAGATGAGGACAATCCCTCTCCCAATGTCCCTCCTTTTTGCAAAGAGGACATGGCCCTGGAGGCAGGTCCTTCTTGGGGCATTGCTTACTCTAGTGTCCCAGCTGTTGACATTTTTTTTTTTTTTTGTGAGGGAGATCAGCCCTGAGCTAACATCCATGCCAATCCTCCTCTTTTTGCTGAGGAAGACCGGCCCTGAGCTAACATCTATTGCCAATCCTCCTCCTTTTTTTCCCCTTTTTCTCCCCAAAGCCCCAGTAGATAGTTGTATGTCATAGATGCACATCCTTCTAGTTGCTGTATGTGGGATGCGGCCTCAGCGTGGCCGGACAAGTGGTGCGTCGGTGCGCGCCTGGGATCCAAACCCGGGCCGCCGGTAGCGGAGCGTGCGCACTTAACCGCTAAGCCACGGGGCTGGCCCCCCAGCTGTTGACATTTAAAACAGGGGGACTTCTGTGGACCCCCATCATTAAATTTGGCTTTGGACCCCGAATTAGTCTGTATCTGTGGCCAATCCACAATTGCGGCCGCTAAGACGTGAGCCTGTATCTTACCTTGGACCTTCGCCCTGCGGTCCTTACTTTGTTTGATAGCCAGGTCCGTTATTGCAAACCTGGGTGGCCACCTCCATTAGCCGCTGGGTGGGGGTCGTGGCCCTAGGGCCAACTCGGTTAATTGACACTGAATGTCAGGAGCTGACTGATTGATAAAATGCATGTTATCAGAGGGTTTTTTTCTCCCGTTCCTGCTCATCCCGATAATCCCAGCCAGGGTCTGTGTCTGGCACTGCTGTGCCCCCTACAGGATATCGATGTTGATCCCTAGTGTGGAGCTCATGGGTGAACTCTTGAGCCCTAGTCCAAATGCGTCCTTTCTCGTCTGTAGTACAGCATTGAATCAGGACAATATATGTATCCTGCCAGGTTAACTCAAACATCATGGCGAGCTGCTGAAAGCCATCAATGAACTTAGAGGGATTTTCAGAATATTGTCCTAACTGAGACTTTATCTGAGCCATGTCTGACATAGAGAAAGGGACATGGACTCGAATGGTGCCCATTTCTCCATTAGCTATTTCCTGAAGGGGGAACCGACCAGAATTAGAGGATACCCCACTGTGGGTGTGTCCTGCTGGACTTAAAGGGTCTTGTTGTTCCCAGCCCTCAGAGTAAGGAGGAGGCGTGGATGTTCTTTCTACATCAGGAGGGGCCTCCGGGGTTGTAGGCAGAGGCCTTGGAATCGGTCTGACCAGGCAGTCGTTGTCTAAGATGTCTGCAGTCTTGTGGGTTTTTTGGGGAGTAACCAAACACATCTGACAAACAGCCCGGAGGTCAGGGGCCTGGCCTAAAGCCATAACCGCCTGGACATATGGACTCTCAGACCATTTCCCCAAACATCAGCAAAAGAGGTCCAGTTGAAAAATGGTGTTAGAATTTAGAGTTCCATTTTCAGGCCACTTTTCATGGTCATTTAAGACATATTGGGGCCAGGCGGTGTTGCAACGAAAGATTAATCTCTTTTTCTTTAGGCCCTGAAGCTCCAATTTGGCCCAGTTGTCTAAGAGACAACCCAAAGGGGAATCTTTGGGTATAGAGCTAGAGGCTCCCATGTCCTACAGAAACAGAAAAGAAACAAGACAAAAAGAGGCACATTACCAAAAAAATCCCCTGAACCTATGGGCAGCATCCTGCTGCAAGGTTATATAGGGTTCCTTTAGCAAGGGGCAACGGGGTGTCCCCAACATTTGTCCCCAAGTAAATCTTCCCCATCACCTGGGTGATGGGTGCCTGGTGAATGGCCTCAAGAGAGAGAAGCATAGAAGTCAGAGTAGAAACTCTCAGAAAGCTCAGAGGGACGTTCTGCCCATCCTTTATAACCAGCTCCCTATGAGGAATTTCCTGAGCTCTTGGTAAGCTTGGCTCTTTTCCTTGAGCCAGATTCCCGTTGTGGGAATTGTCTCGAGGCCCAGGATAAGGTCACAGGCAGGAGGGAGGGATCCAACTCCGAGTTCCCAAAGCGAAACCTGTCACAGGAGTCTTAAGAATGGTGACCGTCCTAATGACTTTTAAGTGGTCGACCCGTGCTCATTAACTCGTTGAGAATAAGCACAGTTTTTTTCAGGCAAAAAGCATAGAAAAGTAAGGAAGAGGAAGAAGGCACACATACTGAAGTGGTTGATTCGGTTGTTCCCCGTACGGGCCGCCAAAACTGATGTGGGGCCGCTGAGTCACTAGTTGAAAAAGAATTTTCAGACACCAGCTGCTCGTTCGTTCGTGCACCTTTATTTTGTGTTCAGCATGGGGACAGGACCCATGGGCAGTAGAGAGCTGCATGGGGACAGGACCCATGGGCAGTAGAGAGCTGCTGCCTGGAAGAGTCTGTGCAGGGCCATTATATATGATTTTAGCTATTTTACTATTCTATAGAAACTTCAAAAGAGAAAGTATTAGGTGGTCTGGTTAGCCTCAAAGATTAGGGCATGGGGTGGATAAATGAGATGTGTCTTTGCATTCCAAGAGTAGGCAAAGAGGGAGAATCCCCCTCTGCCCTTTCCCTTAAGGTTCTTATGGCTGGCCAAATAATTAACAAGACAGGTTAGCAGGAGAAAATAATACCAAGTTTAAGAACATGTATACATGGGAGAAACCAGGGACACTGCGTTTCTCAACACAATAGCAGAAATTCTCGTCTTAAATACCATCTTCAGCTAAAGACAAAGGAGGATGTTGGGCGTCGGGGGTGTCAGTTACAGGAGATTACCACTAAAGCACAGTAAACAAGGGTAAGGTTATTATGCAGATTTAAGGCCTCACCTTCCACATTGATAAGTTTCTAGAAATGAGGTCATCCCCCCTCTTCCCAATACAGAGAGGGAGATACCTTTACAAATGGAGATTTCCCTTATAAATGTAAATGTTTGTCTGGCAACTCCTCACAGGGCCATCCAGAGAATGTGGCCAGAGAGACAGAACTTCTGATAAGATGGGCTTGTTGGTGCCTTTCCTATTGTAACATCTATTTTACATTATATTATAGCCATCAGATAGAAGATCTGTTCCAGGAAGGAGTTACTATGTCAAATTCTTTAGGCAGTTAGTGGGGGAGGTCAAATGTCCATTAGAGAAAACAATCAAGGTAAAGAGATATATTTCAGGGTGGCCAAATCCTGATCTCCCACACAAGGTACAGATATGCCTCAAGGAACACAGGAGATTAAAGTCATTGATTACCTCCTGAGGTAAATTCCTTCACTTCAAGCCAGAGGTGATTGAGTAAGTAGGGGCATGAGAGACTGAGTGGAGTTCTCATGGAAATTGTAAAATCAGTCATAAACAAGGTTTTGACCATGTCAAAATCACCAACAAAAAGCACAAAAATACGAAACAATGTGGCACCAAGTAGACTGTGAACAGGACACCTGTGTAGGTATGAGAGCTGAAATAGGAAGGCAGAGTGTTACCTTGTTGGACCTCAGCTGGGAGCATGTGCATCGGGCTGGGCCACTAAAATCTGTTACTGCTCTGTGCACATCCGCAAATGACTATGAAAGCACCACAGTATTGATTTTGGGGGTTACAAATAAATTTTAGTGAGTTGGGTGAATTCACCAATACAGAATCTGCAAATAATGGGAATCAACTGACAGCTCTTTGTTAAACTTCCTTCAAATTGTATGGGCTATCTGCTTCCTGTTGGCATCCTGACTGGTACAGGGAGGAAGTGCCTGAGGGACCTTCCCAGGGAAGTCTGGGCCCCAGGGACCCCCTGGCTACCCCCAGGCTGTGAAGTCCCTCTTGAGATAAGGGAGCTGGCTGTGATGCGCAATGGTTCTGAGTCAGACACAGCTGCTTTGACACCCCCCACCCACACCCCAGCTCTACTCCTTCTCAACTCAGTGATCCTGGGCAAGCAGCTCCCTTTGTCTCTGTATATCCCTATCAAATGGGCATAATTTACTCCATCTCCACTCAGTTGTTTTGGGGACCAATAAAGATCATGCTGAGATCACAGCTGCTGCTAGCAGTGTGGAACAAAGCAGAGAGCTTGGATTCAGACCCAGGTGTAAATCCCTGTTTGTCCCTTGCTGGCTCTGTGACCCTGGGCAAATTAGTTCACTTTCTTGAGCTTCATTTCCTTCTCTGCAAATTGTTGGCTAGACTACATTGTGTCCATGTGACTGGTTGGCTTTGCCAAAAAGATAACAATATTTTTGAGGGTCATTCTTGGCAAATGCATGGTCAGTTCCACGAGGGAGGGATGACGTCTGTTTTGGTCCTCGCTGTATCCCCTAACACAGCCTCTGGCATACAGAAATTGCTTGGGAAATATTTGTGGCTTGAATGAACCCCCTATTTTTGTTTGCCACACCCTGGAATCTTCCCATGGAGAGCAGATAATTATCATAGCTCGGCGTGAGGAGTTTTGTGATGGGAGAGTGTCCAGGAGGCCATGAGAAGACAGAGGAGAAGCTGAGCTATGCCTGGATGGGTGGGTACAATCAGGTGGGCTTCCTATAGGAGGCCACGTTAGAGCTGCATCCAAAAGGATGATTTTGGTTGCACTTGATCAACCCGTGAGCTCCCTGAGAGCAGGGACCGTGTCAGCCCTGCTCACTGCTGCACTCTCAGTGCCTGGCTCAGAACCTCACACTCTGTAGGGGCTCAATAAATGAATGAAGGATGCTGTGAATTTTGAAGGAGCAGTTTCCCCTCCACCCCAGAGGTAAATAGAGGATAGGGGCAATGGGACTCAATCCCACCTCCCCAGTTGAGCTGCTTGGGCTCTGGGAGCATAAACAGCCTCTGCCAGAGCGGGCTACCAAGGAAGCTGCATCCTAGTGTGTGCGTCTGTGTTGTCAACAAAGGCAGAAAGTAGGGGGAACCCATGTTCATCTAAGAGGGGAAGACAGAGGAGCGCCCTAAGTTCTGTCTAGAGTGCAGGCTCTAGAGTCAAGGATTAAAATTCCAGCTCTTCTACTTGCTAGCTGTGTGACCTTGGCCATCCACTTAACCTCATTGTGCCTCAGTATCCTCAACTGTAAAATGGCGATGATAACTCATGGTGCATTGAGGATATTCTATATGCAGCCACCATTCTACAGGCCTTACACATATGAACTTGTCTGTGCTTACGACAAGCCTTTGAGGTGGGTGCTGTAATTCTTCCCATTTTACCAGTGGAGACTGAGACCAGAGAAGAACAGTGACTTGCTCAAGGCCGCACAGCTTGACATTGGGGAACCGGGATTTGAACTCCAGAAATCTGGTGCCCAAATCCATCCTGTTAACTTCCAGGATACACTGCCTACCTACAGCGTGTTGTAGGGTAAGTGATTGATACACGGTAGGTGCCTAATAAATGGCAATTATTGTTATTTTTAATTACTATAATTCTGATAGAGGGCGCTTAGAGGGAGGGTGCATCAGGGGAGACAGAGCCATGGGGCCATGAGTCTCCGCTCCCAGGGCCCAGCCCGCGCCCGGCCGGCCGGCTGGGGCAGGGGTTTGCCTGTCACTCGGCGGCGGCGGTGCTGGACTCCACGTGCGGCGGCGGCGTGCGCGGGTCCCAGTCGTTGACCAGGCGCTGCGCCTGCTCGTAGCACACGTGCGGGTGCCGCTGGCGGAGGCGCAGGCGGACCACGTTGTAGTCAACCTCATGCCCGATCTTCTTGCAGTTGAGGCTCCAGGTGAGGTTCTTGTGCGTGGCGAGCAGCTCCTTCAGGTTTTTTTCCACGTGCGAGATGTGGCGCTGCAGCTTGTCAGTGCCCTGGCGGGGGGGGGGGGAGGCGAGCCGGAGCGGAGGGCGGGACGCTATCTGGGGTGGGGGGACACACTTGGGCCAGA